ATAAACCTAAGGGGAGAGATGATTTGCCCAGGGTCACATGGCTCTTGTAGATTAGAGCTGAGGGGAGAAGCTGGCAGCTACTTAGTAAGGTGGCCTTTTCAGAAGGAGCTTGGGTTCCCTGGCTGGATAAGCTTGAGAAATTCCATTCAAAACAGCTGCTTCCTTTAAAGGCTCTCTGATCATGTGATACATTAAGGACTCGGAGAGTTGGCAGGAGCACCTGTTTAACTCCTTACACTCTGAGTGCTTGTGGGTTTGGTTCTGGAGCCCTTTGGAAGCATAGTACCTGCTGCTTTGGGATAGCTCACTACCGGGAGGCATGGAACCCTCTGACCAACCAAGAGGACAGGTACAAGGTAATAAGCATTCCCAGAGTCTGCCTTGCTCATGGTCACAGGCTCGGGAAATGCATGGCGTCGGCACTAAATAAACTTGCTGTCAGCCGGGATCTGGGGTGCAGTGGATCTTTATGGCTTCTTTTGCCTTTGGCAGGTTAGGCTTACTCAGGCCTAGTCAAGAAAAAGAGGTGCTTTGGAGAGCTGCTTTTAGGACAAGTCAAAGAAAGTTGCACATCCTAGAGAAGGGAGTAGCTGAGGAAGAGCTGGAGAGATGTCATTGTGGGCAGGAGTTCCAGCAAAATGGTAACATATAAACACAGACCCAAGGGCTGGGAGGTCGTGCAGAAAACATGCTTACCTGCGTTCACCGCTGGCTTCCCAAACAGTGATCACATCAGCTCAGAGCCAGGAAGGCAGAGGTTAAAAAGCCCATGTTCCCGGCTCTGGCACAGTTTATTGGATTTCCTCTGTAGTCTACTGACTTCCAGTTTATGGACAGCTCCACCAGATCCGGAGCTGCCTCCAAGTCCACAGCAAATGGAACAACCCTTTTGGAGGGGAGTCCCGAGCTTAGGGACCCCAGGAACTGACAACAGAGGACTCATGCCTACTTCCCCGTCTCGCAGCTCAATGCTATGTCACAAGGACTCCACAGAAACAAGCCCACCGTGTTTATTCCCTGCCCAAGGAGCCAAGAACGAGCAAGGGTGAACATGTAGGAAGGCTTTCTACATCAGACACGTGTGTTTCTGCTGTGGGAGAAATTCACTTGTGTGACTCTTCCCTAGCAGTGTTGACATAACATGCTGTCACTCCCTATAAGTTCTCAAAGCTTTTGATAAATTCCTGTGTGACAGATACACGGTTATGTCATAGAACACAATACATGTCTGTTAGTGAATTCAACTCTTGCATTTGGTAGGCAAAGAAACTCTGGAGCAGTCACCCTGCTGAAGGTTCACAGGGAGTCTCCCTCTCCTGATCCAGAGTGTACTGTTGTCAGGGGTGACTGTGGGTGGGGGGCTATTACGCCTGTCCATCCCCGCAAACATGGGCTTCCTGGCTGTGGCGGTGTTGGCCTGCCCAGGGTCTTTTCTTGCATTCTCCTTAGATCTTATTCAAGCCAGAGCAGCCCTCTCCAAGAAATAGAATGGCAATTTCCGGCAGTGACCACTCTGTTCTCTGCTTCTCCCCTGTGTCCTCTGCTGCTGCCTGCACCAACCCTGCTGATGCCTTCTGGCAGATTGGGTCACACTGGGTGAGTCTGAGTAGGATGTGGCCTGAATCCTCATCTGGACTGCTGGCTTCCCCCACTTCCCCTTGCCCATCGCTGTCTCAATGAGTAGACCCATCTTTCCTGGCAGCAGCAAAGCCCCGCAGCCTTCCTTACCATCTCCTGACCCTGTGGTTCTGCACTTCCTAGTCCCAAGAGTGGCCCTAACACAGGAAGGGGGCATCACAGAGACTGGGCTGGATAACGGTCTTACAGGGTCTGCCGGCCATCACTGGCAGTGATGGGGTGGGTCGCTGCTCCTGTGTCACCAGCTGGTATAGTGCTGCTTCAGCGTCTCACAGAAATGCACTCACACATTCTGTCTTCAGCGGAACTCAGATTAATAGCTTTTGGCTTCCCAGTCCCCTGCACAAGGGAACCCTGGCCCTTTTCTGAGAGAGGGTTACAGACTAGTTCCTCCTTTCACTGTTTTGGATAGGAAAGTAAGCCCCCTGGCCACCATTCGCGAGCACTTTCGGGGTGTAAATAAAGAGACCGAGGAGATGCGAAGGGATATGGGGTGATGGTGACTCTGAATTCTAGACTGGCTGGATCTGGTTTTCTTTACCACCTCTGTGCTGGTGCCCTTGGTCTTTGTCTTTACCCTCCCTCATCCACACAGTGGGCAATGCTTCATAGCGCAGTGAGGGGCAGGTGATACCAGGTTCTCCGTCTACCCAGTGTGATGAGCTCTGGGAAGCTGTCCTGAGAACCAAGGCCAGGCTGAAGGGCCAAGTGTGGTGCTGGGATCACCACACGCTCTCCGATTCAGGGAACTGGCAATGCCAGGCTGTTGTCCCATATCCATTGGCAGCTCTTCTATGTTGGAGACTCACTCTGCCGTGCCATGAACCTGGAAGAAGTTCTGGGCTCTGAGGGCTCCTTCTGGGTAAGTCTGAGGCAGGGCCAGTGTGAGCAGTAGGCTCTCCCCACCTGTCTCCAGGGTGAGGTGCTTTTCTTGGTCTGTGGATGGTAGAGAAGTTTGACACAGCTGGTTGACAGTCACCAGCCATTTTCCTGTGCTGTGACATGTGACCACCTCCCCTTTGCAGGGCTGGCTTCCTTACTCACATAGCGCCCCTGTTCCACACACAGCTCCTACTCCCGCCTCCATGCATGTTCCCACGCCTCTGTCGTCTGTCTTACCTGGTCCTCTTCCTTGGCCTCTACCTTGCATCTTCATCTTCCCCAAAGGTGTTTGCCTTACTCCAGTCCATGGGGATTCCTCCACTTCCCGGATGCTCGGGGGAACATTTGGTGGGCTTCAGCTTGGGGCTTCTTGCTGTCTGCATGGTCCACATGTCCATCCCATCAGCTGTCCCTTGCTGGCCATATTTGGTGGAAGGTGACAAGGGCATACATATTATTTTATTGTTTGCCAGCCCACGAGAACCACTCTGTCAGTGTTTCGTGTCTCCCTGTGGTCTGTGGCTACGTCTTGCTGGGCAGTGGACACGGATCCAGCAGAGGTTGCTTCAGGGAGAACATGTTTGGAAATGATGGGCCAGTTCACTCGGGAAGACCCATGGCTTGGGGTCAAGACTGGCCTAACCTCAGACTGGGTATGATACTGTCCCTTGCTTAGCCTTCCTAGCCTGGGCCTACTGCTTCGGTGACCAGGAAGATAGCAAACCTTTGTGGAGCTGAACAGACAAGATGATATGGGCCTGCCTTTGTGGGGGACTCTTCATTTTGATTACCTCTGTGTGCCACCTCTAGGAACACAAGAGACATGCAGGAACTTGGAGTCTTTGCTCCCCCTCGATGTAGAGAACCACAGAGGACAGAGAGCTGCACAGGCCCGGAACCACTTAGTGGCAGGACAAGTGCTTTGGCGTGTGGGATGCACAAACTCTCCTGGGTTCCTACATGTGCAGACTCGTCATGAGTGTATGTTTAAAAGCTGCGCTAGGGAGGCGGGTGTGGTGGCTCATGCCTGTAATTCCAGCACTTGCGGCAGGTGGATGGCTGTGAGTTTGATGCCAGCTTGGGTTAAGTGAAAACTAGAAATACATGAAATAAAAGCACCCCTCGGAAAGGTCTTTTTGTTATGAATGCTAAGCTGTAAGACAGCCTGGCCACCTGCATGCTCCTGAGCGTTTCCCGTTGTGCGTGTGGATACTACCGAGCCTTGTGCTGGGTTTGTGGGTATCCCAGGTCTCAGGTGAGAAGGGCAGTTGGCCAGATTCCACCCGACCCGCCAGGGGCTCTCTAAGAGTGGGCTGTCCAAATAAAAGGCCACATTGGAAGTCCAGTCCATGTCACATCCTCTTTTCCTTGGGGACGTAGAAATGCAACTGGAGAGGCCAGCTCCCTTCTCTTTCTTCCAAAGCTTCACTTCTTCACAATTCGGGCAATGGCCTTGCTCTCTGTCTAGGAAGATGCCAGTTTGTCCCCACACCGTGTGACCCCTTGTCACCCACTCCAGATGCCTCTCAACCTGGATGAATTCTCCATCCAGATGTTTCACACATCTGCCTGGGAAGACATGTCCCAGTGTTCCAGAGCACTGACTGCTCTGCAGGGGTCACCGGGGACATGGCCTGTAAGTAGAGAAGGCACAACGACTGTGTGGGAGAGACTAGCAGTTGGGAGCACTCCTATGGCCCAGCCAGACTGGATCAGCAAAGCCAAATGCAAGCCTGTCTGCTGCCCAGTAGCTGTGTGGTGCTGATCGAGTTCCTGTCCTGCCCGGTCCCACAGCTGTTCATCCCAAAGAAATACACAGAGGCTTACATTAATTATAAACTGATTGCCTATTAGCTCAGACTTCTTATAACTCTTATAGCTTATATTAGCTCATTATTCTTGTCTGTGTCAGCCACGTGGCTTGGTACCTTCATCAGCGAGGCATTCTCATCTTGCTGCCTCTGTGCCTGAGTGATGGCTGCAGACTGAATCTTTCCTCTTCACAGAATTCCCCTGTTCTCATTGCCCTGCCTCTACTTTCTTTCTGGTTGCCCCACCTATATGTCTTGCTTGGCTACTGGCCAATCAGCATTTTATTAAACAAGTACAAGAAACAAAATTTTTACAGGGTAAAACCATTTGTCCTACAGCAGTGTGGCTCTGTAACCCTTCCGGATACTATCATGCTGTCTTAGTTTCTTGTCCCATCGCTGTGATAAAATACTCTGACAAAGCCACTCGAGGGAGAGAGTGTCTCTTTAACTCTCTGCTCCAGGCACCATCCGTCAAGGCGGCAGGAGGTTGAAGCAGCCGTAGCAATCAGAAGAGAGCACTGAATACCTACCTCTCTGAGCGCCCTTTGGCCATTTTATGTAGCCCAGATCTCCAACCCAGAAACTGGTCCTTTCCACAATTGAGGTGGGTCTTAATTAGTTTAACCAAGCTTAATCTTCACGGGCATGCCCAGAGGCCCATCTCCCACGTGGCTTTAGATCTCGTCAAGTTGACCATTAATATTAACCCTCATGGATGCCCAGTGAGATAAGATGCCCACCACCTGGCTGGAATATAGGGGGCTCCAATGGAAGGTTCCACTCAGTTGTCTTCAACACCACAGGAAGCAGATAGAGTCTGAATTAGATGAGCCGCCTTCCCCACTAACCTCCTGCTGCTCCAGAGAGTGCACGTCTTGTTGGAGATCAGGCTGTCATTGATCTCCTGTCTCCAGAATATTCTTTTCACTTAACTGCAAGTGACTGAGATGGTGAGACAAACGGCACCCATCCCTTGCAGTGGCTCTTTGTCTAGCATATTTGCTGTCAATGTTCCTTGAGTCCCCAGAAGGATGCAGGGATTGCCACGCCCCACGTTCCCAGGGAGTTACACAGCCATCTCCGTTACGTTTCGCTGTGCTTCAAGAACTGGATTTCTTTATTTCAGTACCCTGGACACTGGCTGGGCAGTTCTGGAGATCTGTGGTCCTCATGGTGTATTTTTTTTTCCAGCAGCATCTCTGGCTTCTTCCCACTACATACCATAGTATGTACACTACAATGGTACACCTGCCCAAGTCTAGCAGTTGTAAGTGCTCCTAGATGTCCCCAGGTGTTCCACGGGGACCAAGTCATCCCCTCTTAGTTGAGTGTACAGTGTGGTTCCTGTCAGCCACACTGTACACATGTCATCCTGTGTGACATGCAGTCTTCACGGCCAGGCTTTGAGGCCCCAGCTCAGCACCATTCCTGCCATATGATGAGTCTGCCAGGCCTAAACAAGTCATCTTGCTTCTCCGCAGTTAGTAAGCGACAGACCTGGGGCTCAAACCTGAGTCTGCCCGACATCAAAGTCTGTGGTTTTTGTGTGTTTGTGTGAGAAGTGTTAAATAGTCTTCGTTTGTGGTATTGTGCAGAACCACGCTAACATGCCTATCAGTAGTAAAAGGCAGTGTCTTTTTACTATTAGAGTCTTCTAATTAAATTAGCATACTCAAGAACAATGGGACACCTGCCTCCTTATCTTTAGCCGTTGCCAATAAAGGTAAATGATCAAAAATGAAGCACAAGCCAATCTTTGCTCAGTTCTGAAAGGGTGGAGAGATTCAGCCCCCAGTGTTCAAATATATTTCCATAACCTTCATATGAATGTAAGCATAAAACTAATCTTCAGTAGATTTTGAGGTACCATCTCTCATCTTTGAGGAGAGTCAGACATTACTAGTGCTCCCCTATCTTTAGAACAAGATAACAGTAGTAATATTTATGGAACTGGAATTGCTATTTTTAAACAATTTAAGGATTGCTATTTTTAAATAAAGTTAATTTTACTTAAGTCAGGACTGTCCAGCAAAAATTTTGTTATCCACTCAAGATCTGAATTCTGGCATATGAATTAAATTGTGTACATATTACACACCATCAGGCATTTGTTTCTTATGATGAATCATACGGTAGTTGTTACTTACTGATAGACTTTTAACTAGGCCCTGCCTTTCCCCCCTTTTTAGTCCCAGAAGAGAGAGTTTTTGTTCCAGTTTTTGTTACTTTTTGGGATTCTCCAACTATTTCATCAGTGCACCCTCTCTGTGGGTGATGCCTTTGTTCGTTGTGGCATCTGCATGAGAGAATCCAGAGGCCTGGGCCATCTTCCATCCTGATAGAGCACGGGGACACTGGGCACACAGTTGGACGATAGCCATGACTTTCTCCACATCATCTCTGGCCCACACCATGAACATTTTGATGCTGTAGGAAATCCTACAGCCAGTAGCCTTTAAGTTACCCGCCCACTGGGTCGTGGCCTCTTACACTATTTATGCCCATATAAAGCATGTGTCTGCTCTCTTTTCTGGCTACATGATTCAGGTTTTGTTCTCCATTCCAGCAGAGGATATTGATTTGTGAGTCTAACCCTAAATAAATAACCATCTATTATTCTCAATTCTGTGCTAGCGTGGGATTTCTTTTAAGCATCCATCTTCATTATAACACAAAGCCAGACCTCCTGCTCTCTTCCAAAGTTTGTTTTCTTGAATTTTGACCAGGATTCCTAACTCTTTCCACACGCAAGATCTCCCTGGAGTGGAGGATCTCAGCTGTGTGCACCTAGTAACCCGTCTAGGTTTGCATTGGGGAGATGCAGCTTATCTAGTATCCAGAGCGGGCGCCTCAAGTTCTGAATTCTCTTCCTCGGGGTCTCCCCAGGGCCAGATGGTGATGGGAGGAAGCAGATGGAGATGCTATTCTTCTGCAGTAGGTTGTCTGCTTTGGGTGCAGGTTGGTTACTATCATCATGGTAATGCTATACAATCACCCGCAGCCAAGAACACATCCACTATCATCGCTCACCCTTCCACACGTGTGTAGGCTCAATGGGACTCATCCATGCAGGTGTGGCTTGTTTGACTCTCCCTGATATCTGTGGACCTGGGTAGGACGGCCTGGCCAGTCTGGCTTTGTTCCCTGCGGCTTCCTTGGTGTGGTG